GGGGGGGGTTGTCTGTTGTTTCTGCCTTTCGCCAAAACTGGTGTGACAGTCATTCAAAAACGTAGTACTGTCATTTTGTTTTCAATTCGTCACTCAAGATTCTCGTGGTGTTCTGGTGTGCTTTCCCCCTACTCTCCTATCAAACATCTATTGTTCTTATCTCTCCTTTTTTTTGTGTGTGTGTTTGTTGCTCCCTTGTAACATCTTTATTCTTCGGCACTTATATGACCTTATTGAGTTGTAAGTGCAATAAAAACCCTTACTAAAACTAAAACGTGAGTGGTTGGCGGGTGCTCTGGAATGGTTTGCTCTTCTTTCCTATCAAACATCTATCGTCCTTATTTCTCCTCCTTTTTTGTGTTTGTTACTCTCTTGTACCACTCTAATCTTTGGCACTTATATGACCTTATTGTGTTGCAAGTGCCGTAAAACACTTACTTAAACTGAAACAACAGAAGATCCTCTGTTGTGGCTGAAATTGCTTCAATAAAGCAAAATTGTTGTACACTGAAATGCAAGCTTTTAAAGATATAACATGCTTCCTTCCTCTCATTTACTGAAACAGTCGGACAAATTAACTGCATGCCTGTATGTTTTTGACATCGTAAAATTAGACTGTGCTAGAGTAAAATCTAAAAGTTCTCAGTCGTGTGAACAGAGAGCTTAAAACAATTATAATCAATTTAGAAAGTTCTCACAGGCACATCTGAACACCTAGCTTCCTGCTCCATACAGTGGAACTCGGATTCAACGAGGCATGACCTAAAATCTTGTTGAATCCGAGTGTTCATTAAAGCCAACATGAGGTTTTTGTGTAGATAATTACAGGCACTGAGCAAGTAATGAATACAGGGAAGTAACAAGTGGTGCCAAAAATGCTTGCGTATTATGAGCTGTGCAAAATAAGACAGATTTGTTCAAATGCACGTCTGTGTCATCTCGACTGTTTGACAAAACGTTGCGTTGCTGTATAGAGCCAAGCATATGGCAACTTTTGATTCCATACACCAACGCACAATTCATTACATAGATCTGCGTCAAGACTAGCTTATCAATAAAAAAAATAATATCATTTCATTGCAATTTATATGATCAGTTGCCGGGGGGGGAGAGACTGATGCATTTGTATCTGCGACATTCCATGCCCAGACCACTGATGCCCCCCCTCTGACACATTCAAACACAGTCACACGTGTGCAGGCTACCCATCCAACCCAGACACGCTACAGTAGACACGTGCACGTGCCAGTATGAAACAAGGACGCTGATCGGTCACATGCAATCGGCTAAGCGAATAATGGTTCATGATGCAGGTGCAGGGATGGTATTTGGGAATAGATAAAAGTTTGTTGTGGGAAAAAATAAGCGAAGACACGTACGCAGGGCCTGCTCACCCTGGAAGCAACCTCGTTGAATCCGAGCTTGCTGATTTAAGTGTTAGTTGCATCCGGGTTACTTTTATTGATTTTAAAGAAGAAAAAAAAACGGGGAAACCATCTCCTTTCGTTGAAGCAAAGTTCCGCTGTACTCCTAATAATTCTCATGTCGCTGATATGAGTCACCTATTATTCGAGGCAAAGAGTTAAGTTTGCCATAGTTGAGACAGTGTGGGGATTTTAACCACATGCGGATAACTTTAGAACGACAGATGTACGCCACTGGCCGATATTTATAGTGACAACAATCTTGTTTGACTTCCCTTTACTTCCCAACTTGAAGTCAGGTACCCATTAGAGGTGGGTGGGCGGAAAAAAAAAATCCGTGGCCGAACCTGGACTTTCTGCTTTGGAGACAAGCGCACTAACCACTCCGCCACCATGCCACTATTGGCTACAGGCTTTAAAAATACTGCAATTGTGCTTTGTGGTCGTGTTGCCTCCGTGAATGACAACAAAGTGGGAATCCCACAATGACGTCAAACAAGATGGTTGTTACTATAAATATCGGCCAATGGCGTACATCTGTCGTTCTAAAGTTGTCCGGATGTATTTTAATCAGCCATTGATGATGGGGTACTGCTTCTACTGGTAGGTCCTACTTCTTTTCTTTTTTTATATTGTATCTGCTTAATCTTTCTTTTCCCCTGCACTAAATCAATGGCTGGATGCAAATACTGACAAACATCAAAAGGCATGTGTCCGAGTCTTGCATCTAGCCATCAAAATGACCTTTATTGTGTCAGTGGGCACCTTTTCAAAGAAAAGGTCCATAAAAAAAAGATTTCAACCATCAATCTAGATAACTTTTGAAGGTCCCACCCTCTCTTTCCATTGTGAAAGTTCAGCACCCCGGCTGACTCGCACTGAGTCTATGGTGAAATGATGTTCTTCATCTTGCACCCACACACATACGCACACAAACAAGTTCACAGATGTCTCAAATAACATTAATTCAACAACAAAAGTACTTGCATTCATATATATTATAATTTATATTTGCACATACAAATGCGAGTCAGAATGATTTTGAAGATGATAAAATTAGGAAAAAAAAATATCAGTCATGACCCTTACAACATACCACATAATAATGTGCAGTATAAAGGTATGGTTTGTGGTGAAGTATAATTTTGCATCATCAACAACCAATACAAGACGTAAGTTCCAAAAACACATTCAAGTGTGTCACAACTGACAACTCTTTTATCCTCTTTGTGGCAGCAAAACATTGTCCAGAGACTCACATTCACAAGAAGCTGCACTCAGTCCATTCAAAGTGATCACACTTTCAATTTTACAAAAATTAAAATACAAATAAAATTAAAATGCAACCTGCGCAAGCAACCAATCCTCTCTTCCATCATTATGCATAACGAAAAAACATTTCTGAGGACACAATGCAAGTCTGATGAGGTTTGGACTCCTTCAAACAATGAGGTCATTTCAGGACTAGGAAATTCTTTATTTCTTTTTGCAGATCAAACGTACGCGTTTTCACATCCCATCAACACAATTTAGATCATTTAAGTTAAGAGGCGAGCTTTCAACCCTAACTGTCAGGGCCAACCTGGGCTGAGAGGGATACAAAATCTCTTTAAAATAAAATAAATTTGAATATATATATATGTGAGGCAGCGTGGTGGAATCAAGCTCTCGTCAATTTTTGGGCATATTGAGTTATTGGTATCATCTTAAAGCTTGTTCATTTGTCTTGCTTTCAATGAAAAAAATACCCTTCCATCTTCAATAAAAGTGGAGATATTTGGGATTGAAGGAGGTGGGGGTCACCTGGTTTAAGAGGTAAAATTAGGGAGAAAATGGCCGCCAAAGATTGGTGAATTCCAAAGCTGGAGAGTCCATGGAAACTGTAAGTCTATATTTTTGTGCCTTTAATCAACGTTTTCTGTGAAATCCTCAAAGGAATGTGTTTGTAAATGGACATAAAAGGTCTTGAGCCAAAATACAAAAATTTGAGAAAAATTGCTAAGCAGGGAGAAAACTGCTGTTTTCTTCGATTTCATTATTTTGACGAGAGCCTGATTGCAACACGCTGCCTCACATATAGTTTCAGTAGTTTTAGATTAATAGAACAATAATAAAAGGAAAGTAACATCAAGGTCATATCACAATTGTCATGGTCATTTTCTTTTTTTCAGGTTTCAAGTCAGAGTTAAGGTAAACATACACATGTTTCTTGTTTCATATCCTATAGTTAGGTTTTGTTCTGTATCCTAAAAGTCCAATTCCTTGAACTTCTTCACTTTTGCACAAGTCATAAGGTTGACTCATATAAACAAAATCTGTTTAAATTAAGTTTTCTGAAAACAACAGAAAATAACTAAGACAATTGTTCTGACCATGAGAATATGCTCAAACAGGATACCAGCATCACAGAAAGCCTTGGTTTTCTTTTTTATAATGGGTAAACAATCAGCTCTGTGTGGTAAGAAACCCCTGAAACTTAGAGCAGGCAACCGCTGTAACAATTTATTTCCAACCCATCTTTTTTATTTATCCCATTTCATAAAATGACACCATATCGCGACCTCAGTGCCCTTTTGTCATATCTCCATATTTTTTTTTACATTGAAAATATGACTTCTTCTCACTCTTTGTTATGAACTGTTTTCACTGTAAAAAAAAAAAAAAATGGACATACGACATGAAAACACTGAGGTCGCGATATATAGGTGATTTAGGGGGTGGGCTTCAACCCTGCTAGTCAGGGCCAACCCCGGCTGGCAGAAATAAAACATCCAAGCGGACAGACTGAGAAACTATAAAAATTCTCCCCACTCGAGACTTGAGTCTCTTGCTATGCAACAGCAAAGCCCCTAGCTGCTATACTACAGACATCAGTCTCTTTTTTCAACAGCATCCCACATGACGTCATCCTGAAAACATTGTCCGACCAAACAGGGACCCTAAACTCAAGTAAGTAAAAATTATTTCCTTGTATTTTTGACAATCAAAAAGAAAATCCCCCAAAAAAATTTTGAAATCTCTGTAAGACTCATTTTCAGGAACTTTAGTTTTACTAAGAGTTTTACGGCACTTGCAACACAGTAAGGTCATATAGGTGCTGAAGAATAGAAGTGTTACAAGAGAGTAACATACACAAAAAAAAAGGAGAGATAAGGATGGTAGATTTTGTTAGGAAAGAAGGAGCAAACCCCACCAGAGCACCCGCTAACCACCCACATCAGGAACTTTATGACAGGTTGAAAAACAAACTGACAGAAGCCTGTGAGAAGAATGTGTGCTGGGGGGGGGGAGACAATTGGAAAACTCACACAAGAGAAACAGAAAAACCTT